AGCCCCAGAGAATATTTATTTACTTATTTCATCGCACCAGCGAATTAATTAACTACTATTTATAAGGAGGTATGTTGTTTATTGAATAAAATTCTGTCTAACGAGCGCTTCAGCGCGAAACTCAGAGTAACAGAGAATCGATGCGTCCTCTTCCATTCTTTAACTAATATATACTCAGCTCTGCTAACACAGCATTTGAGCACTTTATGCCAAGGTAAACTCTACCCTCACATTTGTATAACAACATATATATATGTGTAAAATCGGTATACCTAACGATGAACTCCCAGTAAGAGGATCCACAGGATACAGTGTCTCGACGTGAATTTGTAGTTAAGTGTACAGTAAGGTAGACGTAACGAAGAGACCAACTCTTGACTGTTCTGGACTAGTTTAATGGACGACGTTTCGGCCGTTCGGCCTTCCTCAGGTTAAAAGTTAAAAACTAAAAAGCGGTTTACAATGAGTGTGAGCGGCTTATATACAATACAGAAATATCGAGGTAACGTAATACAATAAAGGTCTAAATTACAAACTGAGAAAAGTAGAACAATAAAAAGGCAAAGAGAAGAATCTAACTTAATCATTAGCGACAACGGAATGAAATACAATGAAATGTGTCATATTGGGAAAATGGCAGCTGCTCAATTGTAGTGATTAATGGGGTGTTTGGATCTAGATTCCCGCCGTTTGTTGAGACCATGAGGATTAAGGTTAAATAACTGCGCGGTCCAATAGGCCATCATTGTAAACCGCTTTTTAGTTTTTAACTTTTAACCTGAGGAAGGCCGAACGGCTGAAACGTCGTCCATTAAACTAGTCCAGAACAGTCAAGAGTTGGTCTCTTCATTACATCGACCTCACTGTACACTTAACTCGTTCGGGGTAACCATATCGGTTCTCCCCCATCCTAGCATCAGCACAGCACTGATGAGGCCCAGAAGGCCGAAACGGTACTGTCTGCAGTTAGATATAGCTCTTTGGCATACAAAGCTCTGCTTTCATGTCCAAACTGAGCACTGTGGGGTGAGTCATTGCCACTAGCACTGCGCATAGCTCACTAGGCTTTCCTAGTTTGAGCACTCTGGCATGGCTTAGACGATACCAAAAATGTGGGATCGTTCGGGGTAACCATATCAGTTCTCCCCCATCTTGATGAGGCCCAGAAGGCCGAAACAGTGATCGCTTTTCGGCTTCTTTTTGTGTTTCGTTAGGCTTGGCCAAATTCACACAAGCAAAAGGTCTATTGTGGACTTGAAGATCTTGATGTCATCAGCAAAAGCAAGGACGTGGCTAAACTCACACGAGCAAGGATTTTGAGCTCAGTACGCCCTTTTTGGGCCTTTATATTTGCTTATAAAGAAGATTCTGGGATGATGTCAACGTATACGATGAATACTGAAGGAATCTTAGAAGATGTTTAATCAGCCGCTCAAGACAACTCGTCCGATGAAAATTCATACATGGTAAACGGTGAATCTTATGCACTGCGTGCAGCAAGAACGTCTGGACAAGAATATAGAAATGAAAACCAAATCCAGCGACAAGAACATATATTTAACGAGAATTCTATGCCACAACGTCCGAAGACAGCCTTTTTCACGCCTGATAGACAAACAGCTGCTCGCTCCGTATTTGACGCCTTCGAAAACTGTGAAGTTGAAAACTACGCTCTGCAAGATATTGATAAACCTCTGACCTTCCTAACGATTTACGACGCCCCTTTTGAACTCTCTGACCTTGCAATCATTAAACGTCTAACACCCTACTGTGATGTCTTAAACTACCGCCGCGGAAAACATTCGTGCGCCCCAAATATCTACAATGGTCTCCGACATTACCGCGTACGAATCTCCAAACCAATTCCTAGTTTTCTTCGCTTCGGCAAGCACCAAATTTTTATTAAATATTCAGGCTAAACTCCTACATGTAGGAAATGCAATCGCCCCAGTCACTTCAACAACGCCTGCCCAAACAAAATATGCTTTAATGGTGAAAACACTGGTCACGAAGCCCGTGAGTGTCAACGTCCAACACTTTGCTGTATTTGCAAACAAGAGGGTCACATAGGCCGTTAATTGTGAATATTTTTAAGAAGGCCAATGCCATGCACAATTTTTAAGGAAACCCTTACAA